TTCCTTACTGCTCAGTAACAGCAGCCCTGTAGTGAATATGTAGTTGCACTTCAGCTTCAACATTAATACCCTTGTAATTGCATTATTTGAAATGCAGGCTGAGGAAGCAGAGCTGGTGGTGAGTGCCTTTAAGAACCCAGCCCTGTGCACTGTTCTGTTTGGATTTCTACCACCCTTGGTATAGGATTGCACATGGATCCATCTTGGCAGCTTTCCCAAGAAAAAACTTGGCATATACGTTTTTCTCCATAATGCTAACAGTCCCTGCATATTCTGTATATTGACTTTCACAGAAAGAGTTCAATTCAGTTCTGTAGCCCAGGAGAGTTCAGGGTAGGAGGGAGAGAATAATCACAGTAGAGCCTTTGTGGAAGTTTTTCTAACTACCTCTAATGTTTCTGGCTTGGACATGGCTGTCTGGTAATTTGGTGTAGACAGATTATTTTTATTAGGTACCAGTATTAACAAAGTTGTCTTATATAATATCTGATAGTTAAACAGGAAATTACTTCCTACCCAAGTGAATAATGAGGACTATTCTGGTTGGCCATCCATTTACTGAAAAAATAAATAGCTCTTTTCTTACACACAAACTTAACTCAGACCTGTAACTTGCCTTAATTGCCTGCAGATGGCACAAAAACTCGTGTTCCTTAGAGCAGGCAGCTTTGGTGGTTAATGTGTAAGGATAAAACATCAGCCTGAAGCTTCTTGCCTTCTTCAGTGTCTGATGTTGGTGAGTGTGCAGATGCCATTACCAAGACCTGAAGAAGAAGGGTCCTCTTTCAGTCTTGAAAAATTAGTTTTCTTACATTTTTTTCCAAATTATTTTATTTATGTGTGTCTCTATTTGGATGTATAGCCTGTCCACCTTAACTGTGTTTTTTATGTATAAATTGTACAAAGTACAGATGGCCTATGAACTAATTGCAATCTTAGTTTTCTTCCTTGAAAAATAATGGGAAATGCTAGTTTAAAGAATTTCTTTAGACCACATAATGTTAAGAAATGAGCCTCAGGCTTACAGGAAATTATGTATGTTATTCCAGCTCATCCTGACACTTAATCCCTTCACAGAAGTTCAGCAGGGTGGAAAATAGCCAGTTTTGTCAAGAAAATTCATTTAGGGTTGGAGTTTAATTGAACATTAGAACAATATAGCCAAGTTGTATATAGAATTTTAGACCTACTTTGGTTTGAAATATTCCTATCAAGTGTGGGAAGCAGATTGCATTGAGAAGTTAGTGACTTCTGAGTTACTGAAGAAATGCACTGCTCAGAAGCTTGGAATTGAAAGGTTTGTGGGTGACTCCTCTCTGTATCAGTGTCCACACTGCAGTGCTGAGAACTCCAGCAGCTTCACAGAATTTTGGTTTGTTACCCATTGAAAGGATGCTGTGAATGAGAAGCAGAGAGAAGAATTACAGTGACAATGTCTTTTATTTCCTCAGGCATTGAAAAGCACCCTGGGCTTCCCTCTGATCCGATTTGAAGATGCTGTGATTAATCTGGATCCTTTCACTCGGGTCCATCCCTATGAAACCCAGGAGTTCATCATTAATGACATCCTGAAGCACTTCCAGGAGGTCAGTGTGGCTGAGATGATGTTGTGGCAAAGGCTGAGCTTCTCTTGGTTGAGGAGTTCTCACTGGGGATGTGGGAACTCTTTCCTGACTATCAAGTGTTCATGCTGTGTGGCTTCTTTGTTCTATGGAGAAGTAGTATCCCAGAAGAAATCTAAGAATACACTGCATTTTAAGATGAAATTGTTAATTTGACTGGTATTTGTGTGTTGATTTCTCTCATAAACCCACCTGGGTTGGCATAAGCTTCTGTTGTGGGTGGGAATTTTTTTTTCCTCTCAACCTTGCTGGTGTAAATGTGATCCATAAGAAATATTTCATTCTTCCTCTCGATTTTCCAGGAGCTTCTGAGTCAGGCAGCAAGCATTCTAGGGTCTGTGGATTTCCTTGGCAACCCTATGGGCCTGCTGAATGATGTTTCAGAAGGTGTCACTGGACTTATAAAGTATGGCAATGTGGGTGGCCTCATCAGAAATGTCACTCATGGAGTATCAAACTCTGCTGCAAAGGTAAAAATTGTGATATTAAAGTTTGCTACAAAAATAGGCAAAAAGTCAAATAGAACTACTGACCGTGCTTGAATTGCTTGATCTTTGTTTTGTAAAAATGGCATTTGAAGTGTAGATTTTGTTTTTCTTAAATGCTTTCTATACATCCCAGGGATAACAGGAGTCAGTGAAGCACTCAAAGCCCTGTTACTGCTGTACAGATACTTGCAAGTTAAATCAACAGCTACCCACAGGGAGAAATAATTTGCTTCTACACGCAAATTTACAGAGCTGTGTTAATAATGTATATAATCTATATAGAGAGAGAGCACTAGAGAAAGATGGGGTATTTAAGGGGTTATTTAGTATAACAGGAGTTGTTAGCTGTTATTTTTAAGAAATGATTAAGCTGATGTGAACAGCAATTATTATGCTGACACTTGAGCTTTGGGGGTTTTGTGCCACATAGCAACAAACTAAAGAATTTCCAGATTGCTCTGTATTTATCTGTAATTTATTTCCAAAGTCTCTGCATGGTGAACATTCTTTTGTCCTTCCTGATAACAGCTGAAGGAATTCAATTATATCAGTGAAAATAACTGCATTTAGTGCCCAAGAGAGGGATGATCTGAGGCAGGAGTCAGAAACACAAAGTAGTGTGGATCATGGTTGGTGCTGTACTTGGTAGTTAGCAAACATGTTCTTGAAATGTTTTGTTACATACATGGTGTGTCAGCATGAGTCCTTTCATGGATACAACTAAAATAATATGTTTTTGACACAAGGACATGTTGGTAAGTTTGGTTTTGTAAAAATTCTTTACTTTCTGTTTTTCTCCTTTTCCTAACAGGTAATTTTATGTGTATTGTCATGCTTCATCTTTTAATAACTTTTCCCACTTATTTGTATACAAGGCAATCTGATTTTTCCCTTCCTTAGTGAGAAAAGGTAATTGAGAAGATGTGAAATGCAGAGCCTGGATAATTACAGAGAGGTCAAGACTATCATTATCAAACCTAGTCCATCCCCAAGTGCAGAGCTGGATCTGACCCAGAGAGCTGAGCCATGAGCAGAGATGACAAGCACATTCTCTGTCATAATTACCTTGATTGCAGCATTAGCTTATTTTGCACAATTTCAAGAAACTCAAAGAAAATTCTAGGTTGATATTCCTGCCTTAATCTCCTGGTGGGTGCTGCTGTAAATCTCAGCACTGCAAATCCAGGCAGTCTGGTAGAAGACTTGCTGAGCTCCTGCAAGGCAGCTGGGTCTGTGTGCAGATGAGTCCTCCTGTCCATGCTGTGTCCTCGTGGCTGTGCTCTCTGCTGACCCATCCCCTCCACCCAATGGAGTGTGTTTCTTTAGAGTTTCCTTTCCCCAAAGTGGTGTTTCCTCATTGCAGTCACATCTGCAGCCACAGTCTCATAAATCTTCCTTTAAAAGGCACGAGCCTTCCTCTGTTTCCCACAAGGGCAAGGTCATTCTTTGAACTTTGCAGTCATTTGTAACCAAGGGCTTTGTGAAGGAAGATTTTCAAAGGCAGAAGGGCAGTTGGATGCTGAACTCCTTTCAAAATTCAACAGGAGCTGAGTGCCTGCTTCCCATTTATACCTTTGAAAATCACCCCATGTACTATTTATTTGTCTTCCCAGGTATTTTTTCTTTCTCCTTGATATATCAGAAATGGCTCTGTGATGCAAGTCTCACACAGTTCCCTTTTCCAAGATTTCTACATGGTTTATGTATTTGTCCTCTTGGAACAAGGAGAGAAATCCATAACTTAAAAAGGTTTAGTAGTACATTGTGGAGCTCCTTGATTAATCCTCTTTCCAAAGGTTGAATCTTAATTCTGCTGCATAGAAGACAATGGTACAAAAGGCTCAAATAGTCAGGTTGAATTCTTCCTTGTGTGTTGCACTGCTTTCAGGCATTTAAATCTGCTTGAAAACTAAGCCAGGAATGTCCACAGGATAAAAAAATTGGCATTTCAAGTTCAGTTTGGGATATGTTATGTTCATGGTACAACACAGAAATTTGTCTTTTATTTTCTGTTCTACCTTCTTTGTACCTTATGAGTGTGTCTAGTATATGTAAAGCATTGGTAAAGAAAATTATGTGGAGAGAAAAAACAATTTGAGTTAGTCAAGAGAAACAAAACTGAAACAATAGGTCGTTTTCATCTTGCTGTTGGTGCTCCAGGAAAGTATTTTAAAGTATATTTTCACTGCATAAATTTTCACCTGGTTCAGCTGTGCCACAGAGGCCTCTTGTCTTTGCAGCTAATCCTGTGGATCTGGTAACTAAAGCAGCCAAAACTTAGAGAAACCTGTGTCCTGCACAGGCACTGAGGGCTGGAAAAAATCTCCATTTTGATTGTCTGACTACCTGACTGATGAAGTGTCTAAAATAAAAATCTATCCTAGATTTTAAGATGAGTTAGCTATTGAGGTGTGAGTAGATAGATAAACAAAGAGTAATACTGTAATCATGGCTTTTAAAGTACCACTGCTCAAGTGAATCGAGAAGTAAGCTATAGGAGTTGTATCTGGTTTTGTCATTTTATTGCTTTTCTATTTTATAGTTGTGCTGATTATCCCTGTAATGGCTTTTCCATGCATTTCAGAGCATGCAGTGGGTAATGCCTTCTTTCAAGTGGAGAGCTGCAGTGTATTTAAATTGGCACAAAACCTTAGGTTAAATAAAGTTCACTCCAGACAGTTTTGTAGTTTTTATCCCTTGGAGATTCCAAGTTCTGTATTTTAAAAAGTTCTTTGATCCTAAATATAGACACCAGAGGGAATTACATTCCCTCTGAATGGAGCCTTCTATAGTTGCCATATGCGTGGAAATGTCTCACATTCTTGGCATCCACACTTTTTTTTATTTCCCCCGTTAGGCATGATAGAACTAAATCCTAAATTTCCCCTGTTTCAGAGGTGTTTCAATTAGAAATGAATATTGAACACTGAATTAGCAGCTGAACAAAACTGTTCTGTAGCTTGTGTTCTCCAAATGGAAAATAAGTGTGGTTGTATCTGTTACTGGCAAATAGGTGTTATGCTGACACAGTGGGGGTAAAGGATTGAAAAGATTCACAGCTTGTCAATACTGTATTTAATGTCTCTGATTTCTCTCTACCATAAATTCTCTTATCTTAGGAATTATGAGCAGATAATAGTGTAGCTGTTAAGACTCTGTTAGGTCATGGGATATAGGATGGAAATAATTGGTGTGTACCTCCCTTCCTCTTGAGAAAAAGAATGTCATGGACTTCATGAAAGAGCTTAATTTTCATCTTGAACTTTGAAGTTTCTATATTAATCAGGCTTCCTAAGGAAAGGTAAAGCCATCAGTCAGAGCTGCATTGCCCTGTTGGTTTTTGGGGAGCATGCAGGGTTCTGGGAGCCAGGCTCCCTTCCAGAAGGAGGCACCTGAGATGCCAAAACTTCCCTAGAGCAGAGTTGCAGCAAATTGCATTTGAGTGTCTGTTTTCTTTTATGGCTGATGAACCTTTCTGCCCTGGATTTTCATTCCATCTGTTTATTTCAGGTGAGTTCAGACTGATGGCAGAGATAGGAAAAGAGGTGAGGTGTTAGAACCAGATAAGAAAGCTTTAAGAGCAGTAAGGATGCTCCAGGTGAGTGTTTGTAGAACTGGAGCATGAAAGCAACACAAAGGGAAGTGGAAGTTTTAACCCTTCATGAAAGCACCACAAAGAGAAATGGAAGTTTTAACCCTCCTTGTAAGATAAATCAAAGCAGAATCTCAAGTGGTTGGCAGTGACAGGAAGATAAAGATAACTGAATGGAAAATAAAGAGGAAGTAATAAAGGGATTATTTAAAAACAAATCTTGAATATGTGTTTGACTTGCATGAATGTTAAGTTTAACAAAGTTGGCAGCAAATACAATGAGAAGTGGCCGTACCAGAGCACAGAAGGAAGGTCCAGTTTGAGCAGGCTCTACCCGAAACCAGACAGAAAGGTTTCTAAAACAATCAAAGCTGATGATTCCCTTTTGTTTAAAGTGGTTTTTTGTTCACTTAATCAATCACTCCTCTTTCATTCAAAAGCAAGAACAACTACCATTCTCCCATCTTGGGACTAACTGCAGCTGGGCTCTGGCAACATCAAAATGCCAAGGAAGTAGCTGAAAATAAAATCATAGCTTTGTGTCAGGGAACTTCTAACAAAAGCCTTTGTATCTGAAGCCTGAGAAAGAAATAGGAATACATGGTGGTGTTTTCCTCAGTAGAGTCTTAAACAAAATCATCAAATTATGTTGTAGAAAGGTCGTGGTGGTTTTTGGGTTCTGAGTTTGCTGAGTGTCCTACCACTCTATATTTCCATGGTGTTTGTTTGATTCCTTGCTCTTTTCCTTAACTCCTGAGAGCAGAATGTGTGTGGTTAGTGTCAGCCTCACTGGATAAAGGTGAGCAAGGCCAGAATACATTTCATCTTCCTGAGCAACCTTACAGATTAGAATTTGTGTTTTCCTTCAGGAAAGCTGGCAGTCATCCCTTACAAAGGGTAGTTGAGGCATTGAAATAGTGGGATTTACTGTAATTTTTTGTATTCCAGCTGTGATTTATACAGTTTGGGTCAAATGTAGCTTTTTTTTGTGTTTTCTTCCATGTAACCTTTATCTTTCCCAGTGTAGCATAGAGGCTGCTGCAGCCTGTGCAGGTGGCACTGCAGATCATCTTCAGTTTAACTTGCATTTCATCCACAGATTTGCAGCTTCACATGAGCAGTGAGAATCTCTATCAAAATGTGTCGATTATGAGGTGGAAAGCAATTGAAATTCCCAGGCAAAAATGCTGAGTACATGAGGGATATTTCAAATGAGGCCATTTCCCCATTTCCTGCCAGTTTGAAAAGGCAACAAGTTTTATGACCAATTAGTGGCAATCAAAAGCCATGGAAAGTGTCAGTTTTAATGTGCACAACATCTGGTATCTGTAACTAGTATCTTTGAAAGAGGTTTTGGGATAAAGGATCATCTTTGAGAAGTTTGAAGCAT